TGAATTGTGGCCGCCATCACCAGGAATAAAACTCATTTACTCAAGCTCAGCAACGTGACTGTGATAATGATTACATTATTATGGACTGGCAGCACAAACACACAGATAAAAGAGAGAACATAAAGCAGTAGGTCTAGCTCACAACTATACTTTTCATTTCAAAAAGAACATTTAGAAGAGTCAAACCATGTATGTTTCCCGCATGCACAAACAGAAAGAGCACACCTACAATTTAGTAAAAAAAATTAAAATAAAACTGTCTAGATCAAAGCCAGAGGACAAGTCTAAAAATTCAAACTCAAAGGACAAGTCTAAAAATTGTGCAACATCACCGATAGTTCATTAATACATGAACCAGATTACTTCTTAATATAGTATACCTCAATGAGTATATTTATTGAGATAGTAATTAAACATGTCAGGTTTTAATTAGTAAGTTGTTATACATTTCAGCACAATTGCTGGTGCTTTCATGTATGTTAAAATAAACTATGCTGATTGCACAGTAATCTATTTAGAATGATGAAAACCAGTCAAGAATGTTCTGATACACAAAGGTGTGGCTTGTGACCAGTACAAATATGTACAACAGTTTATATTAGGGAAACCTGGTTACAGTGAAAATGTTAAGAATAGCACGTGTTAGTACAATGGTAAAACATTGCCTTGATACTGCAGACCAAATGTGAAACTGTGAATGCATGCAATCAAATTAATTAAGAAAAGAAGTTAGAAATGATGTCTGACAGTCCTGTGGCACACATAGCAACGTAGTAAAGTTTATGGCGCAATAGATGAAGAACATTAAACCATGTGCAGTGGTACTGTGATACTGCATCATGTAATTGGGCTTAACCTAATAAACGAGTGCACCACAGTGCTGCAGTACAGTTTAGGGTCCAAAGTATTGTTCCAGAAACTTCCCACTTAGTCCACATGAGTGTTACAGCATCCACACCCAAGCGTGGTAACCCAGTTAGTATTTCACATTGCACTTTCAAAAACTGAAGCAACAGGAGTCAGTCCTTTGCTTGCTTCGAGAGAGCCAGAACAGCTACCAAGCTTCTGTGGTGCGCTGCAGATATATGGCGATTTGGAGATTATTTTCACCTGTGACAATGAGAAAAATGATGTCAAGGATTTTTGCCAGGTTCCTTCTGTGAAGCAGTTTAAGTTTGCATTGTTTTTACACTGCTGTGTCACCACAGGTGACATATAGAAGAATACCATACCAGATCTGCATACCATGTCGATCTACATTTCCAACGTGTTGGCAATGGTTTTATTCAGGTGCATTGAAGGCCAGTGAGTGGTAAATTGTTTTCTTGTGGTGGCTTCTCTAGCTACATTATAGGGTGCCTTAAGTTAGCTCTACCATAAAAGTGGTACCTTGACCGGAGAACTATGGTGCATCTTGTCGGAGCCCGACATTCTTTACAAAAATTTCGCTACCATAGTGGCACTACTTTAAGCAGATCTTTTTCTTCGAAATCGCAGTTATGTTGCTTCATAGCAATGGTGATGTAATCCTGGTGGCCTTGTCAGTAGTGTTGTGTATCATGGACAGTCCTATTATGTTTAGACATAATCGGTGACATCATTACTGTGATGCAAGCTTTAAAATCTCAGGTAAAGGTGCAAGAAACCGAAGTGGCCAGCAGTCACATTGTTACGCAGAGGCTGCAAACATCTCTACATAGTGCTAAAGGCACAATGAAAATGTAGTTGCATAGACTGTTTACAAGTTCTTATTTATGAGAATGTCATTTCATAAGTGAACTGAGGACAATGAACACTTTAATATTCTGAGAACTCCACCAGTTTTGCCTTGTAGGTACTCCACAGCGCTTTGTAGTTTTAAATCGGTCTGCTGTTCCTCAGTGAAGTCACCTGTGCTTACAGTTGCAACAATGGTGTTGCAATCTTGTTCGTTTCGGTGCAGACATTTGCATCACAGTTTTTCCATCCAAATTTGTACACTAATTCAATCTGCATACGGCCCGATCAAAACTGACTGCCTGACAAAGACGTTGGTGTGACATTGCAAAAGACCACTCAACCGGATTTCCCACAAAAATTCAAAATAGTGTCTTATTTGTTTGTCTAACACAAGCAATTTCACCTTAGTTGCCCACTGAGGTTTTTTCGTCACTTTATGGTCTTACAAGTTAGTTGTCTTCAAAAGCGCCTGTTAATTATGATCTATCTGCTTGTGTTCCTGTGTGTTGACATGTTCCTTCTAGGAAAGTTCAGGGTTCATTTGACAAGGCGCTGGACAGTACTGGAAACAAATTTAAATTTGTAAATTGACCTGTGTATATTAAGGCACAATTTAACTATGACCAATAATCATTCAGACAAAAAGTTGTAAACTCAACGTACTATCTAAACTGAGTTAATTTCAGGAGATAACTACTCGAAGCAAAAGGTGTGATGCTTTACTCAGACTCAACACAGAATGCTTCACTAGACACCATAACTTGAAAAGCTAGCCATGCCTAAAGTTACACCAAAATAAATGTTAAAGCTTCCCCTCAAAGCATAAATGAATAATGTTTGCTTAAAATAATCGGTAAATGCTATGTATAACCCAACAATATTGACAATCCAGTGCTTGAAAAGCACAGTGTTACCATGATCCTCTACATACACTAAGTATCATACAATTCTAACACTTGGTACACAATCAAACACTTGGCCGATTATATGCATCAGATGATAATGTAAGTCCTAACGCTTGAAAAGTGTAGTGTTGTCATGATATCTTACATACACGAAGTCTCACACAATCTGAAGAATGTGAACCAGGCAGTCTTTGCCGAAAAGTTATCCACCGAAAAAGACAGTTGCCACATAGAATAAGCTCATGAGAAAGTTCATATTGTATAAATCTAGTGTCACGTATGGAATTCTGTTGACCCGTAACCGGCGTTACGTTGGACTAATTAGGTGGTTAAAAATCAGAAGCTTACAGAGCATCTTGATAGGGTGAATGGAATGCATTTTGATAGCTTTCTGGTGATTCACTATAGAAACTGTGGGTGTGTATTTCGGTTTGATCAAGCCAACATACTCGGATGAGCTCAGTGAACTACCAATTGAGAGCAAGCAGTTCGACTACTGTGATGCATCGTGTATTAGTAAATCTTCTATTGATTGTTTGACAGAGAGCTGATTTTCTCTGTATGTGTTACATATCAACACTGTACCCCTCATGCATTATTTTTATTCTTTTTTTCTATGCTCAGACTTATCCTGTACTTCTATTGTCACCAAAAATCATGCATGGTTGGTGACATGCTTTCAAAAGTATATATGATGTGCGTCAATGAATTCTGCTTAGTATTGTGAGAAGCACCCATGTGCCCTGTGTGTCTTGCTCAAGAAGCTCGGCCATTCAAAATACATATGCTATGCGCTACTAGATATGGAAACATATTGAAATTGAATATTTCAGCTATACATAAGCTTCAGCTCAATGTGCAACTAAAACATTCAGACTCCCAAGCGTAGGTCAGCAATACAAGAGAATACTCAGTCACTCTGAGATTCTTTAGGCTTCTAACTCGCTATTTTTCATACAGACTTCTCACAGGTACTCACACACATTCATACTTGCTTACACACACACTCAATGCAACTTACTCACATGCTTACTCACGCCTTCTTACACTCATGAGTACTGGTTCACATTCATACTCATGACTGCGCTCACATTTATACTCAGGCCTTCTCACACTCATCAGTACTCACTAAGGTCTTGCTTACACTCATTGGTACTCGCTCGTGCTCATGCATGTAAGTTGCCCCACCCGTCCCACAGCTAAACTATCCTATCCTCTCGCTTCAAAATCACTATGATCTGAGTAATTTTGACTTGTTCAATTGTTCGTATTAAGATGCAAGTTAAATGTGGTGATATAAATCTAAATTTCAACTACTTGGCACTTCTTTTTTATTACGAAAGTTGTTACAGTTTGAAATCAAAACTGTTTTGTGTATTTTATGTAGTCCGAGTTTAGGTGTTTGTATGAAGGTAATATGAAGATTTTTTTATATTCAGTGTGTTTAGTTCAATATGTTATTTTGAAAATAACAATGATGTTATGATGTTTATAGAAACTGTATTCTGCTCAAGTTTTCTGTTATGCAGTTAGTTTGAATACTGAGTAACGTAGCGGGACATTTATCATTCATTTCTTCACAATGTATACACTCTTGCAGTATGCTAGTTGTGAAGTGTCAATTTATCTGTTTTGTTTGCCATAGTTCAGTAGCTGCTCCGACTTTTTTTTTCTATTTTTTGTTATGAGGTTGTGAACTGTAGTCAAGTTGTTCTAAACATAAGTGTGTGCAGGGTTCCCCTTCAGGGGGGAAAGGTCAATTGCAGCACACACCCACTCTATCATGTCCATGTATAGGACTCACATTGCACCCATCCTCTTGCCCACCTGCCACTTGTGCAAATGCCTATGGTTCCAAAAACAGATTTTTTCACAGTCCTTTTCATAATACAAATCAAAATAAACTTCATTTCATGTGATTCGTGGTTATGCCTACTCTCATTTTTCATTACTCATACTGGTGTTTACTCACATTCTCATCATGCACTCGTAGTAAGTCATGCCTTTTGAGTGAGAGTGACCGAGTGTGCTCATGTAGCCAAGCTCTGCTCCGACGGGACACGCCGGCAGAGCTTGGCGTGTCCACACTTGAGAAGGAACAACCCCCTGCCAGGGGGTTGTTCCTTCTCAAGTGTGCATTACTTTTGCATTTTTATGTGTTTGCTATGAAATTCTTCACGCTGTTATGTTGTACATTTTCTTACTCTTCTGTGTATTCTGTGCATTGTATTATTGTGCATTTGTTACGTGGAGGACCCATCATCTTCATTTCAAGGAGAATGATCTGGTGTCGTGGTTTCGGTTCTGGTTTTGGAACCGGTTGCCTGGCCTCTAGAGGGCGTTGTATATATGTATATATAGCAATGGTTGCGTACATAAACAAGTTCCTGCTTGGCTACCAGCTCCTGCGTACTTCTTGTCGGCTGCCGCTTCAGCGCCGTGTCCTGTGTTCTCAGTGCAGCGCGTCCGCCACATGATACTACAAACTTACGCCAGTGTGGGTCCACTTTCACCAAGCGACAATTGTGCGAAGGGAATGCTGGGTTGTAGTGCACACCGACTGAAACTGCACGGTGATCCACGGCATGGGCACCACGATCCGCAGCAGCAGTGTGATAGGCCGGATGTCTCGATGGGATCCAGGAGGGTGCAACTTTCGTCGTTCTGCATGTCCTCGCTGCGATGCACTCCTCTAACTTCGTCGTTAAAAAGATGGTTCTGACAACGGGGTGAGAACTTCAGCGATCGTGAAGCGTACCAAGCGTTCGCTGCCTGCTCACACCTTAGCAGAGACACAAAGAGAACATCAGCGGTTCGAAACGGAGTCAGTTTGCGCACTGGCTTGGTGGCTCGCCATTTCGTGGCATAGAAAAAAAACGGAGGTGCATGACACTTTAGCACTTTTTTTTCTTTGAACATATTCTGAATTCTTTAGTTCGTAGAAAAAAAATTAATGAGCGGTCTAAAGAACGTCTCACCACTCACATTAAAAATATTAGGACACAAAGCATCATCTTGCGAACACTAAAATAGTTTCACTGATTAGTTTCTTTTTTTTTTTTTTAATCTCAGAGGTCATTCTGATTGTACAGTCGAACAGATCTCGAATGCTACTGCTTTGATGAGTACATTCGTCAGAAACAGTTTGTTAAACTTTATGCAAAAAAAAGTTATGCTTTACGCCCGTATGTAACCAATTGTTAACTTAAGTGTGATGAGTCTTTCTTCTGGTTACGCACATAATTTACGCCGAAAAGCACTTTTTTTTTTAAGTAAAAAAAACCCCAGGCCTCTGCGGTAGGCGCAATGCAGTCGGAGAGAAAGCATGAACATCGGCCTTTCAGAAGCTTTTCTAAACACTCTTTGAGTACATACTAGAAACACACTTGCTCGCTACCCACTATGCTATAAATATTCGTGATTTTTGCATAGTAGGCTGGCATTCACTATACTATCCTTAGTCATTCGTCAGAGAAGCGTGCATCCACTAACCACTTGTAATGAATTTTGTGTTGCATTCAGTGGCTGGCAAATATGAAGAATTATGCCTGAAGTGGGTATGTGCCACAGTTAAAAGATGATGAACAACAAGCTTTTATAATGTGTTGGAGCATTGGACGACCCACTCGTTACACGATTCACATTGTGTGACGCCTGCAGTTGTTTATTTGCTATTATGAAACACTTTATTACTCATAGTAACGCGATTCCTTTCCAGACATCAAGCCTGCCTTTGACAAGCTTGCAAACGAGTGCCATGCTCCGGCGTCACTCGGCGGTAGAATACTGTGGAGCCACACAGAGGAATATGGTTTTAATCTCACTATGTCACATCATGTCTTTGTTGTTTTTACATAGGTTTCCCTTTTCTTCTTTTCTGCGAGAGTGGTTATGGACACCAATGGCGACGTAGGCGGACAACCAAGGTGCTGTGCGTGACACGTGTTTTGATCTCATAACAGCTTTCACTGCATAATAAAAAGTTTTTGAGCCCAGAAACACTTCCCATGGGCGTTTTAACTAACGTGAACTGATGTTAGATGCATATTCTTGAATTGGTGTAATGGCTAGTGTTGCCAAGCTCTTATTTGACCCATTGTGTTCAGGCTGTAGTTCATACTACCTAGTTTAAATTCTCCAGATTTTAAATCTAGAAATATAAAACTGATTGTAGATTGTAATTATGGAGGAAGGAGAAGACCAAAAAAAGTGCTTGTTCAGCCCTAGCGCTGGGAGAAAACTAGGATGAAAATGACATCTTAGCGGCCATATGTAGTGGGCAAAACGGTGACGTTGCTATAAGGTATATACTTGGTGCCCCTGATGTGCCGCCGTGTTCATCTATGAAATCCACATTGCGCAGTAATGCTTGTTTAGAACATATTTTAGAATATAATGAGTTCCATGGCCACAGCTTCTATTCGGGACGCTGTTCTTCGAGAAAAATCCAGATGCACCACGAAAATACTATTCATACATCTATACTTATTTCAAATATATAAATGCATTTGCTGAGAAGAAAGGCATAAACACGGAAGCAGGATACAAGAGATTTTTGGCATATATTAGTTTATTGCAGCCAAGATAAACACAAAAAAAAATGATGGGACATGGTTGATAACATACATTTTCAAATCCATGTCGTAATAGACGTATTAACAGTGCCGGGATATGATCGACAGTATTCATGAACACATCGGTAATGGTTTTATAGACGATAAGTAATAAAAAACAATTCTAATAACAACTATTGAACAAACAAATGCCCCTTCTGCTTCTGAGCTCTTCTGTGTCAGTGCTTCCCAACTCAAGCAGGGTACTGTGGATTTAGGCGGCAGATTCCTGAGCTGTGTGGGGGCTACTCGGTTGGCAAGCGGCCCAGTGGTGCTGGCCGGCAGCGTTCACAGTGCCCGTCGAGGCCCCCGGTTGGGTCTCAATATCGTTGTGCTGGCTGACCTCGGCGCTGGCATGGCGAACCGGGCGGGACCAGCGATGGCCGGCCTCGCCCAGGGCGCAGTGCTGATCTTTGGTCAGAATTGTCTGTATGACCACGAGTTGGACGGCCTTGGTCTCGCGATCCAAGAGTGTCCGTTGTTTCCGCTCAACCACGCTGATATTTTTGACCCCCGTTTTGAAAACCTGCATATCGAATGTCAGGTCACTCAAAGTCTCGGAAGGCATCATCAAGCAGGGGTACTTTCCAGGAACACACACCAGTGTGGGTGCACTTTCATCAAGCGACACTTTTGGGAAGGGAATGCTGGGCTGTAGTGCACACTGACTGAAGCCGCACGATGATCCACAGCATGGGCACCACGATCCGCGGCTGCAGCGTGATAGGCCAGATATCTCGATGGGATCCAGGAGTGTACAACTTTTGTCGTTCTGCATGTCCTCACTGCGATGCACTCTTCTAACTTCGTCGTTGCAAACAAGGCTCCGACTATGACGACGGGGTGAGAACTTCAGCAATCGTGAAACGTACCAAGCGTTCTCTGCCTGCTCACACTTTAGGCACAGACACAAAAGGAATATCAGCGGTTCGAAACGGGGTCAGCTCGAGCCCTGGCTTGATGGCTTGCGATTACGTGGCAGAGAAAGGAGACGGAGTTGCATGACACTTCTTTTTCTTGTTTGAACATATTCCAAATCCTCGATTGTATAAAAAAAATTGGCCCCATATCTTTATACTGCAGATGTCATCGAAAGACAATAGTCTTGCATGCAGAGAGAGTGAACAAAACATTTAGTTGATGTTCTGCGCAAGAAAATCAATGAATGGTGTTCTGGAGGCACTACGTTAAGAGTGCCTCGAGCGTGCAGCAAAGGCGAACGAGCGCATCAAGTCATGTCACACTTGAAAGATGAGCGCCATCTGGCAGTTTTCTTGGAAAATGAAGCACGCGGGTGCGCGCCCGTCTCAGAGGTGATAAGATGTAGAACGCGATGTGACTGGTAGGTGCCACCATCGTGCCGTTTAAGCAAAGTGTTGGAAACACTCGCCTTTTCGTGTAAGCGTTGCATGGTCAGTGCAGCCTGATAAATGCTACAGTCCTTAGAACTACTTTTGTATGCTTTTTCTAGTAAAAAAGGCACGTACAGAGTACATACGTGTTGTGGACAAACAGACAAATGTCTGTTTGTCCACAAGACAGACAGACCAAAATTTTTGTGCCGAAGGTCCCCAAGAAAGACTGGCGTCTTTTAAAATAACAAAAGCCTGAAGTAAACGGTTGCTCGCCAGTACTATTGGAAAGAAAAATAGGGCGTGAGGTATTGTCTAGCAGATATTTCACTAAAAATGTGTTCTTTTTCACCGGACAAATGATTCTGTTTGGATAGGGGAATCAAGCCCTAAGGCTATGTTTATGGCTCTCTCTCTCTTTCTGTCTGTCTGTGTGTGCGTGTGTGTGCGCGCGCGCGCGAATTAGGCTTCGAAATTGCTGCCAATAGATGTACAGATTAGGTGGTCGGAAGTTCCCAGGCTGTGCTGCCATAGGAATACATGGGATAGTGGCCTGGGGACTTTTAACCGGCCGTGTACTTATCATAAACGAAGCCTTCGATATTGATCTCCCTATCCATAGAGAGCCATTTCTGTGTGAAAAAGAAAATACTGTTAGTTCACTATAGAATACCTCTCGACATAATTTTTTCTAATGGAACTGGCGAGTAGTCTTTTGAACCAAGTTTAATTTTTTTTAACGGAATGAAGAATTAAGAATTTGTTCAAAGAAGAAGAACAGGTGTTTAAGTATCACGCGCTTCGGTCTTCTTTTTTTGCCACGTAATGACGAGTGATCGAGTGAGTGCGCGCGTTTTGAAACGCTGATGCTCCCTTTCTCTTTGTACCCCTAAAGGTGTAAGCTGGCCGCGAATGCTTGGTATTCTTTACGGTCGCTAAAGTTTTCTCTCGTTGTCTTCGGGGCCATGTTTTACACGGCGAAACCAGTGAAAGATGGCATTTAAGAAGGGATCACGAAAATAAACAATGGATTTCGAAATTGCGCCAAAATTTTCATTGTGAACAACATGTGTGTTTCCGTAACCTAGGTTGTAGCGAGTAAAGGCAGTTGTTAGATTTTGTTTAATTTGGGGAGTTTTACGTGCCTAATCCGCAATATGATATTGAGGTCCAGATATTTCGACAAAATGAGACAATGGTTCTCAAATGGGGGTCCGCGAAGCTATTTCTGGGTGTCTGCCAAACATTAAAAAAAATGAACAAACAAGGCGTTGGGGGGGGGGGGGGGGGGGGCTGAACAATATGTGGTCACAGTGACTCCCGAGTTTAGGTATGCTTCACCGCTTAACGTTTCTGTGCTGCAGCGGAGCTCGCTTTTGTTTCTCGTTTTATATGACATTGTTGTAACAGTTTTCTTAGAGTTTTCACGACATGTGCGCACGAGTATGCTTTTTCCGGGCTTGCGTATCTGAAGAACTAACATAGCTAGAAATAGGCTTAATGTGGCTGAATACAAGACAACTTATTGACAAGCTCATGGGATTGAATTGGTGTTGCACTTTAGATCGAACTTTCATAGCTGGGGAGAAAGACGGGGCACTTATTTCATGCAGCATGAGGTGTTAAATTATCACCCCCCCCCCCCCCCCCCCCGTTTTTTTCTCCCTACAAGTGGTCCCTCATTATACTCACCAGCCCACAAGAGGTTCCCGAAACATATGCAAGAATGAGTTATTAACGTAGGCTTCTTTAACCTGCGCCAAGCTAAATCTAAGTACACGGGCCTCTAGCATTTCGTGTCTATATCGAAACGTGACCGCTGCAACCAGTATTGAACCCTTGGCCACTCTTCATTTGCCTATTTGGCGTCGCATAGCATGTGAACATATTACGAGCTGACATTCACAATTACTTCTGATAACATCCTCAATATTTTGCTTGGCACGATTGTCTGTTAGATCTCAATAATATAGTGTCTAACAATGAAAACTAGCCCTTAAATATACACTTCTTTCCTTCTTTTTTCTTTTTAAAATTGTGCAACTTTAGGGACGACTAAGTGTAGCCTCGACGACATAGATCCTGTGTGCGACGATAACAGGTGCGTGACTGTCACATCAGCTCTATAAAAATCCATTTTTTCCTGCACAGAAACATATTTGTTTCATTCCTTGCCGCTCGAAAAAAATTTCTAGACATGCATGACTTACGTAAGTGCATGGCAGAAAACAGTGCTGGATTCGAGGGGGGGGGGGGGTTATTTCTAGAGTTTCTGTATACACTAAGCATATATATGACTATAATTATTTCTACTCCTCTTCTCCTTCTTGCTCAATAAAAAATAAAGGGATTATGGCAAGCACTCTTTCTGTCCTTGGCCCCATTCGTCCCGTCACTGCGCTCTCAACCAGGCCGCAAACCTGCTTCGTTTCGTTTTACAGACATGTAATATTAGGGCCATTTAGCAAGTTACGGTACGGTATTACTGTAGCACTCCTTATTTCTCGGTCGTTGACCTTTTACCAATGAAGGCATCCTAATCAAGGTGCCAACAACACAAAAACTTTTTCAGAAATTACTGTGGGATTATGACGCCTCGTTGTGGCTAAACTTACTGTATATGCTACCTAAAAGGAACTTTAGTTGTGGCCTGTCAGCTTTTAACGAGGGACCTATCGTCTGAGGCACGCAGTGTCACTGGGAAAAAAAAAAGCGCTATCGTACTGCCTAACCGCATTTGCGTGCCGTTTCCTTTTTCTATTATTGCATCGAATTTTCGTTTTGTGTGCCCGTGTAGACTGTTCAACGCACAGCTCGAATTCTACACGAATCCCTTCATAATACCTCTGCTCTTCCCCAAAAACGTAAACGAACGTGACAAATGAGCTCAGCATAGGCTGATTTAATTCCTTGAACATGAATATACAATATTAAATGCCAAATAAATTTTAAAATTGAGGTCCTTTTCTTGGCAATCATATGTGCGGACAAAGTTATGCTAGGTGGTACCACGCTTGTGTTCCTGCACGACGCCTGAGCTCGGGGCAGCTTCCCGCGCTTTACGCATTTGCTCCAGTTGCTCAGCCTGCCTTTTCTTGTAGTAAGCTTCTTCATTGGCAGCGCCCATTACTCCGAACGCGCCACCGGCCTCACGAATGCTTCCACCAGATCCTCCGCCCTTTCCGGCGCCACAGCCCAGCTGGCCCAACTGCTCACTGTGACTCATCGTGCTACAGGTCACTTGCAGGCTGGCAGGTACATCCGCGGTGGTTCCACCAAAGCTTGTGCCGGGCTCACAGTACTGTCTGAACTGTCGCGTAGTTCAAGGCCTAGTGCGTGATAACTCGCACAACAACGTACTAGCAGAGTCCAGGGACTGTGTTACTAGCTACTCGTGAGTCGCAACTGCAACCCAAGCCACAGAAGCCGCTTCAAGCTTAAAAGCCAAGCAGCAATCCGGATCCGGAAGCCTTGTGCACGTGACAAAAACGCAACCCGTGTTCTACCGTGCCCGCTCCGTGCGGTGGGATTGGCGGTGTTCGTGTCCGTCGTCGTGCTTTGTTTGCGCATAGATAGCCGGGTATGTTGTGGATATTAGCTTTGATCGCGAACTTTCGTTTATGTGTGTGCCGTCGCCCTTCTGCATTCCCGTGAACATTACTGAATAGTCGTCACTGCTTGTAATCTTCTTCTTCTTTTCACCGTACTGGTATTGTTTTGATCTTCACCTTCTTTTGGAACGCCGTGACATCATTTTATCATTATCAAAGACGTCTGCGTTTTGTAAACGGACGAAAAAATATTGTTCAGGAAGAAATAGCCGCGGATGGGAGTCGTGTTGCTGTCGAGACAGTTTGTTGCATGCTTGTTTTCGATGCGTAGGGTGCAGGCAATCTTCAGAGCTTATTTTAACGGGCGTTTGTACCTCTACAGATGCTGACACCTGTTTCGAAGGCGGAATGGAAAATATGGTGAAATCTACCGAGGAGGACAGGCTAATTATCGGATGCTGGACCGAAGGAAGAGTTCTAGACCGAGGCACTTTTGGAAGCATAACACTATGGCACAACACGGCAAGTTCAAGTTTGGCGCATCGTTTGTGTTCACCGTGCGAAGCGCTTCAGTGGTGTTAGGTGTCGCAATGAATTTTTGTCATTGTTAGTAGCATATTAGGAAATAGTATTGCTCTAACTATACAACGGTAGGCAGCATTCGGCTGATCTCCTTCTTCATTGTAATCAACACTTCTGTGGAAGGTTGTAAACTACTGTGCAGTTAGAAGACCACAAATAATGTGTCCTTGTCCTTGGCAGTCGGTTTCATTTGATTGTGCCTGATAAATAAAACGAGCCCTGGAGCCATACCCCTTTCTTCGTTTCATCACTGTAATGTAAAACAAACTAGCATTGCGTCGTGTGCAAATGAATTCAGTAGCTGTCGGTATTCGATAAAACAACTAAACCATAAATACAACATAATTTCTGAAAATTGCTAGGCGACCTCTACGACTTTAATGTGCTAGTTAAGCTTCACAAAGGTTTGCTGGTGGCTAAAAATTGCCCTCAGCCTTTGAACGAAATAAGTTAGTAGCATAGTTCTCTAACCAAGACATTTCTGGATGTATGTGGATGCAAAACTATATATTCAGCCACAATATAAAATTTCATGACCTTATACCATAGCTTCTGGTGTTATCAAGTATCATCATGCCAGAAAACTTATAAAAGCAGTGTGCTTTCAGTCACCATGACCCCGGCCATAAAATGTAATGAAGAGCTGTTCCTGTACCTTATATAGAAAACACGGGAGACCATAGCACTCAAGAAATGCCTGCGAGACGTGGCAGAAATGACAGACAAGCTACGAGAACGCTGGGTGCAAGAGGTTGAAATCCTTAAAAAGTTGGACCACCCCAATGTTGTAAAAGGACTTCCTGTGCCAGAGCCACTGCTAGTGCTTGCTTCGAGCCTGCCATTTCTAGCAATGGAGTACTGCAGTGGAGGGAACCTTAGAAAGGTGGGCAGTCTCTTTATTGTTTTATACCCCTAAACCACCCTGAACATGGAAATTCTTATATAGTGACAGCTTTATACCATTCTAGACTTAAAATAATGCTACAAATGTTCTCTAAAATAATGCTGCTGTATTAAAGTTATAAAATTTTATAATGTGTACATGACTGCCATGGTTTTTATGGAAAAGCATTATTTAGCTAAGTTCGTAATACTTGACTCAAAAGTACCCTTGCCCGTCATATCAGTTGGCCTTTAACTTCTCTGAAAGCAGTGTAACATTAGTGGGCATAATGATATCGTAACAAGTAGCTGCAACGAGTCTGATGTCGAAGTTGTAGGCTTGGTGTTAACATCAGCAGAAAACTTGTGAGAAGTTTCCATGTATACTGTCTCGGTGATAAAATAGAAGAGGGCATGAAAGTGTTGAGGTTACTCTGATTGTGCTAAATCATGTCAATAAATGCAGATTAGCCTGTCTCATTGCCTCATTCTTTATTATCCAACTGGGCAGCACCACTTTGTGGCACCATTCTGCAGCACCCCTCCATAAAAATGACCTAGCCAAAATAAACAATCCTTTCCAACATTTTTTGCTTCACTTTACTGCGTTTTCCACTGGGGCTCTTTCCACTTCACTGCATACTTTCACTGATTTTATGTACTTCAGGAGCTGACTAGACAATTTACCGAAATATAAATATAGGTTTGAGTATAAATTGTTGGCTTTACCAAATTATCACTGATGGCTTGCCACGATCCTTAAAAAGTATACTACATTCTGTTGTTGCTGACATATGGAGCAAAAACTTTAAGGTCAACCAGAAGATATCAAAATTGAAAAAAAAGTGCCTTAGGATAAAATGTTCAATGTGACATTCAGAGACAGGAGAATAGCATTGTGGATTATAAAGTTGATGAGAGTAGTCATATTTTAGTTGCCTCTAATAGAGTGGAATGGAGTTGGGGCAGGCCATGCAGTTTGTAGGGCAAAGTCTGGTATATTATTGTCTCAGGGAAGTATAGTAGAGGGTGGTAGCGAAGTAGGTAGCATGATGAAAGTGAGAAACCTGCAGGCATAACTTGTAATTGGGCAGTATAATACAGGGGGCACCTGGAGTTTGATGGAAGGGACCTTCATCCTGGCAGTGTTCATAAAAATATGATTAAGACAACAGTGATAAAAAGAGAATACTACTTTGAAGAAACAGCTGCATCTGGCACCTTTTATGGGAAGAATTTTATAAATTTATTGTAGGTGCTAGTGTGGGTAACTACACTTTTTTGCGTCTAACCTTCAATTCATTGAGCTTTGTCATCAAGCTAAGTGGCCTATTCAGAATTATAGGAATGAACTTTTATGTTGTGGAAGGAGTGCCTGAGCTTTGTCTTGATGGTTTAATGCAATTATCATATGATCTCTGTTTCTTATCTCACATATAGAAATTTCCCAGTTGAATGGTAATCTGAATGATGGTGGTGTAGCAAAATTTTCTCTAGTGAGTGCTGTGGTACTATTGGTCAGTTTCATTTAGTGCTTGCATCTTTTTGTGTTTGTATTTCTGTCCTTCCTTATTTACTCTTAATAAGCACCTTAATTAGCTCCCATCAAAATGTGTGCTATAGCAGGAAAAGTATGTGAACATATTGTGTCATAATACAGGAAAACTAGATGACGCAAACCACGAGGAAAATTAGGCGAAAGAAAGGACCCTCTTTCCTTTCACCTGTTTTTTTTTTTGGTGGTTTGCGATGTCTAATTTCCTCGTAGCAAGCACCAACTAGCCCAAGGTTCATTGAAGTATATTGTGTCATGATTTAAGCACCTTTTGGTAGGAATGTCTTGCATTGTATCTCGCTCATAAAAAACTTTAGTCGCAATTCGAAAATGGTGTGCAAATTGGTTTTCCTATTTCATGTACTGAAATGTTCAGATATGCATATTAATGCTTAGAAAAAAAACTTTATTATTGTTGTGTTTTGATTATGCATTTTCATGCTGTGATACCTTACCAACAGGTGCTGCAGCGCCCTGAAAACTCTTGTGGCCTTCACGAGAGAGATGTACGTTGTGTACTGAGGGATGTGACAGCAGGTTTGCGCTACCTGCATAGTAACCATATTATCCATAGGGACCTGAAGCCAGAAAACATAGTTATCAAGGAGGTTGATGGAAAGGTAGGTTCCTGTTCACATTGAAACTGTTGTTTGGTTACACTAACCCCTCTGATGCAATGAATCATCTGGAATGTACAGGAGGAATTAAAAGAAACCTGAACAGCGTGGCACGCTGTTTTTATTGAGGTCTGACCTTGCTAGCCATAAAAATTGCTATATTTGTTCTTGATTGCATTATAGGTGACTCTATTGGCTATTTTTTTTTTTACCATCCAGGCTACAACCACTTGAAATGCGAAACAACTGAGGATGTAGATAGTGCACTGTTCGTGTTTCTTTCAATCATTGTAGTACATCACATTGCATGGGGGACAGCCATCGTCCTACCAATTGACAAAGACACAGATTTCAGGTAGTAAACTTTGTCTCAGGAAGATGGCTGCCCCCTTCATAAAAGCCAAACTACGGGCCTCGGCCAAGATTTGCTAAATTTAGTGGAGCACCTTCCTAATGGCACATAGTGCATAGGGAATAGGGAACAGTAGATATGTAGCAGCGCACGGCTAAAAAGCTATCCGTTACATTAGATACATTGTTCGTTGTTTGAGCTGGGTTCCCTGTTTTAAGCAAATGTCTCTAATCTTCAGGCCTAACAATGAATTACCTTGCATCATTGTCAAAGCAGTTAAAATTGCTGTTCAGGGAAATGCATGCTTAAAAGGGCGCCCTGCAACACTTCTCTAGCATGGTCACTTGACACTGCTCATCGGTAGTTAAGGCTCCTGGAAATACGCGAGCCTAACATTAGCATTGGGCAAGTGCAACACGTGGCCTGGCATTTACAATCAATTCTCAAAGGCAGCTAGAAATCGCTCCGTCCTCTTTCTACAAATGATGCCTTATATCCAGATGACCACACCATATGCCAAATTCACGGCCATTGGTTGATTGCAGCATCGTGAACTACATAGCTAACGAGGCTACCATGCGCCTGCACGCATAATTTAAATTTACATTGTAGAACTTCATGCAGCTCTTCAGTAAAAAACTAAAAAGATTTGCAAAAGTTAAACACATCCCACACAATTGGATGCATTAATAATATAAATGAGGCTGTTTTTGCGTCATCTGAGCTTGTACAATTCCTGTCGCCAAACAGCAACCTTGATTGTGTGTATGCTTACTGTTTTTCTTGCAGAAGGCATAAAGAAGCACATCGCTACTCATTATATTTATATGTACCCCTGCCACACTAACACACTAACTTAGTCATGCACTAACTTAATGTCATGCAACAAAACAAGCGAGAAGGTCCTGAAAGATAATGTTACCATCGTGTGAGTTCAATGACCACCACTTACCCGCATCAGCCCAGAAGAGTAGTTGCAATATTTTCCATATAAAAACAAAAAAACACGTAATGATGAATACTGCCCTAACTTTTCTTCAGATATTTTACTCATCAAAGGGACGCCAAAGAGCAGGAACGTAACTATAAATTCTCCGCAATGTACTGGGGGTGATGGGATGTAGTTTATACGAGTAAAGCTGGAATTCCTGCAAGAACTGCTATGTATCAGGCTTCCGCGAATACCGCGCCTTCCAGGCACACGCTAGATTTCACTTACGCATTATGCGAAACAGAAGGCAGCAATCAACGAGTTTTCTCTGCACGCACAACACCAAAGCGACAACTACAACTACCGCTCTCAGAGGCTCTGTACCGCAGCGTGCCCTAAATTACTTCACGGAGCAGCAATAAGTGGCGACCCAATAGTACAGTGTGCTTCAGCACTGCTGGCCGTCAATTGCAAAAAGAGCCATGTTTTTGGCACCGGACACACTATCCCATTCTAGTGTACCATATTTCTGAGGCAGCCTTATGAGTGTGATCATTCATGTAATGATTGACTTAATGAGTGTAAACAATGAGTATGATCTTTTTCATTACCTTCTAGCTTCCTCGTAAAACAGTGATTTTATTTTCTTTTTCCCTAGGCTATCTACAAGATCATTGATCTTGGATATGCAAAGGAGTTTGACCAGAGCAGCTTGTGCAACTCATTCGTGGGAACATTGCAATACCTTGTGAGTACTACTTTGGTGTTGCATCACTTTTATGGTCAGTATTTTGATAATTTGATTTCATTAGCGATTTCTAATTTTTTAATCCAATTAGGCTGCTGCTAAATTGGCTTGGTATTTACTATTGTCGAATGAGTGCAGAAAGATACAGCTACCATTTTTTTTTAAAAACATTGTTTTACTTTAGTAAAGGAGCGGCGAACAAAAGATTTTATTGAGGCTACTGTTTATAAGCCATTAATGAGAATGTGCAATAAATTGAATGAAAAAAGTATAGCTCACTCATACGCACTCAAGAAATATATCTTGCACTTGGGACTCACTTGGACTTTGACTCGCCGAAGTTGTTCTCAACCGTACACACTCGGACTTGCTAAACATTTTCTCAACCGGACTCGCTTGCACTCAAACTCGCCAAAATATTACTCCCCTAGGCTCACTATTGCTCATACTTATGGCTCACTATGTGAGTCTGAGTGAGTCCACCACAAGAACAACGATGAGTGCATTAGCATACGTTGAGCTTTTTCGATCCAGTTGTCAATACTTTTTAACACCATTATCTCATATAATCTGTGCTCTATAATATTGTTACGGTGCGATGGATGCCTTTATTTACAGGAGATGATCAATGCGAGAGTCCAGGGATCTGGCCGATCACTGCTCGTGCCAACCTCGTTCTCCTCTTCTTCCACGCGCATCCTCAGTATCGTAGCAATTCCCCCTTTGCAGACGATGCCCACCGGGCGAGTTAGGCTTCGTTGCGATGATGATAGCGTTTTAAACGGGCAACATGAACGACGTTGGTCTTGCTTGAGCGGCGGCCAGTTGACAACAGCTGAAATATCACGTACGTGACATCGCTTAGACGTTCCAAGACAACAAACGGACCGGTGTAGTTGGCCAGAAACTTTTGGCAGAGGCCGCGCTTGCGAAGCGGCGTCCAAAGCCACACCAAATCCCCTTTCTCAAACCATACGTGCCGGTGACTTCTGTCGTAACGGTTTTTGGAGTGTTTCTGTGAGACGAAAGTTCGAAGACAGGCGATGCGCCGGGCATCTTCTGCGCGGCAAATGGTTTCGGCGAGAGTAGGTTGATCAGTCTCGGAAAAAGGAAGAATAGTGTCAAGAGCTGTGCGGGGTTGGCGTGCGTAGAGCAGATAAAATGGACTGTATCTCGTTGTTTCGTGCTGTGCAGTGTTGTAGGCGAAAGTTATAAATGGCAAAATCGCGTCCCATGTTTTGTGTCCAGAATCAACATACATGGAAATCATGTTGACGAGAGTCCTATTTGTTCGTTCCGTCAAACCATTAGCCTGCGGGTGATACGGGGTAGTGGGACGAAAATGGCACGAAGCAAGACGAAGGAGGTCTTCAACTACATCGGCAACAAATTGCCGCCCGCGATCACTGATGATGACACGGGGGGATCCATGGCGTAATATAACGTGTGACAGGATGAACTGTGAAACTTGAGTGGCCGTTGCCGCAGGAATCGCCGCAGTTTCGGCGTAACGTGTGAGGTGGTCAACGCCCACAATAATCCATCGGTTGCCGTTCGTTGATCGCGGAAAAGGGCCGAGCAGGTCGACACCTACGACGTCAAATGGTGAACTCGGGGGTGCTATGGGATGAAGTAGTCCGGCTGGCGGAGTTGTAGGACGCTTGTGGCGTTGACATTGCTCACAGCTCGCAACGTATGCAGTCACACTTTTACGCATCTTCGGCCAGAAGAAGCGTTCTTGCGTGCGATAAAATGTCCTAGAAAAACCCATATGGCCAGATGTTGGGTCGTCGTGCATTGCTCGAAGTACGTGTTGTCGAAGACTTGTAGGCACAACTAGAAGTAGGCGAGGGCCTACGCCGGAATAATTCTTTTTGTAGAGAACGCCATCCTTTACGACGAAACCACGTTGACCGTTCGTTCCGGAAATAAAGAAAGAAGCGAGACTGTTGTCATTGCGTTGCTCTGCTCGAAAAGTTGTTAGGTCGGGGAACGGAGTATCCACTACAGCCAAATATTCATCAAAGTTGTCAGCGTCACACTCGGTTGTCGGAAGGGGAAGTCGTGAAAGGCAATCAGCGTCGGCATGACGACGACCGCTCTTGTAGCAGACTTCAAAGTCGTGTTCTTGCAATCGTAATGCCCAACGAGCAAGACGACCAGATGGGTCCCGTAGTCCAGTGAGCCAACATAAAGAATGGTGGTCCGTGACAATCGAGAATCGGCGTCCATAGATATAAGGGCGAAACTTGTGCACGGCGAATATGACCGCAAGACATTCCTGCTCTGTGACAGTATAGTTTCGCTCCGGCTTACTTAAACAGCGACTGGCATAGGCAACGACGTGTTCAGCAGCTCCATGGCGTTGGACCAATACGGCGCCAATACCTACACCACTGGCGTCGGTATGAACTTCTGTGGCAGCAGATGGGTCATAGTGGCGAAGTACGGGCCCTGACGCAAGAGCAAACTTGAGTTGCGAAAAAGACGACTCGCATTCCGCTGACCACCGAAAAGGAGCGTTCTTGTTGAGTAGGGACGTCAAAGGGTAAGCGAGGTCGGCGAACCTGGGCACGAAGCGACGGAAGTACGAGCATAGGCCCAAAAAGCTTCGCAACTCTCGTACCGACTGAGGTTGTTTGAAGCTGCTGACTGCTGCGACTTTCTGGGGGTCGGGTCGAACGCCATGCTTGTCCACCAGGTGACCGAGAACGAGAGTCTCGCGGCTGCCAAAGTGACACTTCTTAGAGTTCAGGGTGAGCTTAGCTCTCTCAAGGCAGGTGAGAACAATGTCTAGACGATGGTTGTGTTCATCGAATGTACGGCCAAATATTATAATGTCATCCAGGTAGCAAAGACAAACTTCCCACTTTAGTCCACGTAACACAGAGTCCATGAAGCGCTCAAACGTGGCTGGAGCGTTGCATAGGCCAAACGGCATTACATTGAATTCAAATAGACCATCTGGGGTTATGAAGGCCGTTTTCTCTTTGTCATTCGGGTGCATGGGTATTTGCCAATAACCAGATCTCAAATCCACGGATGAGAAGTACGATGCCGAATGTAAACAATCGATGACATCATCAATCCTGGGAAGCGGGTAGACATCCTTTTTAGTAACAGAGTTGAGCCGTCTGTAATCCACGCAGAATCGCCATGTACCATCCTTCTTTCGGACAAGAATCACAGGGGCAGCCCAAGGGCTACACGACTCTTGAATAACTGTCACGCACTTCCAGTGAGGCCCCGCCGATCCAACATCGACGTGCGGCAGACTCGCAGGCTTCCACTTTACGCTTCGGCCTGCGACGCCTGAAAAGCCTCGAAGTGGCACATTTCGAATTTATTTGCGGGTTGGTCGACCCGTGCGGGGTTGCACGTGTGGTGATGTGTGGGCCTGACCGACGCACTCGTTGAGCAGACACGGAGTTTGATTACACACAAACAAGCATTTAATTGAAACAAGGGCAAAGGCAGGAAAATAACAGAGAGGAATAACACTGAGGCGCGATGGAAAGAACAGCTATATAACAAAATATGCAAAAAAAGAACAATACAAAAGATACCGACTAAAGACAAATATGCGGAACATTAATAAAATAACAACAAGATGGAAATCAAAGGAGAGGGATACAAGAAAATAATTACAGAATGATCATTGTAGCGCTTTTGAGTTTCTAAGTGCGACGCAGCGCACACAACTACAAATGTTTAAAGAAAAAAAAAAAAGGCTGGTTAAAACAATTTAACAGTTTAAAAAAAAGTCACAATAAAAAGTTCCATACGGACCAGGCCAGCTCTTGGTGCACGTAGGGGAGTTGACGGGTGCCGCTGAAGGTCTCGCCGGCTTGGTAGACGACGAGGGTGCCCGGAATTGCAGCCGTCTCAATACGTTGCGCGGGTCACTCAATGCTCGCCGCCTACGCGAGACTCGCGACACCGACGACCGCACTTGTTGCTGGCTGTACGTCAACTGCCTATTCCGATGCAGTCCAAACCTGTTCAGGGGCGTACACGTGACCCCGTCTCATCTGGGGGTAATTTTCCCTTTTTTAGGCCGCCGGTTCCCCTTTCGGTACAGGTGCAGGGAAGACAAGCCGGCGCCACGCTGGGTCGTTAGTCGCCGGATGTCGTCCCCCGAACACAAAAGCGCCCCTCTTTGGAAGATGGGGCCCGCGGATAATCCGAAAATTGGAGTCGTTTGTGACAATAACCCTTTTCTTTAACATCTCTTCTACCTGTTGAGTAATGACCTTGCGCTCCGCAGATGAGACACGGTATGGTTTCTGCGGGATAGGGTGAGCGGATCCTGTGTCAATCCCATGGCGAGTATGCCACTCGGGTACACTTATTTGCTCTTCTTTCTGCGCAAAGTCAAATATAGTAGCGTGCTTCGCAAGGACTTCGACCAAAGCTTGACGTTTTTCTGATGTTAGCGACTTGTTTACCATACTCAGAAAGTTGGCTTCTGTATGGTACGTTGCACAAATAGGATCTACTCTCTCGTCACTTAAAGATGCAATGAAACTAGTCACATTTTGTTCGAAGCGGGCTAGTCGCATTCCGCCGGGTAGCATAACAGGTTCATTTGAATAGTTCGACACCCATAAGGCCGATCGCCCATCACTGATCGACAGAACACAATGTGGAATGAGCACATTTTTCTTGGCGCAATTACGAGGAATGGGCTCCACAAGAACATCAAACTTTCCGGCGTCCGAGGCAGAGGCGTCAACGCGTACGGTCTTCATCGAGTTGGGCGGCAAGACAACATCCTCAATGACGGTGATAGATCCTTGACAGCACCTAGGATCGTCAGTAAATGCCGATAGCATAATCTCGCCAGCACCGCAATCTACAGTAGCCCCGCACTCGCGTAGAAAATCGATGCCCAAGATGATGTCATGGGTGGAGCTGGTCAGGACGGCGAATTCAGCCTCGAAGACCTTGTCACCCAAAGTGACACTAACAACACACACACCGATCGGGCACAATGTCTC